CTGCAGAGCCCGCTCCGGCACTTGCTTTACGTTCAGGCGCTGATTCACCCTCGCAGTCTGAAGGTGCCCTCAATTCCCGGCACCAGCTTCCCGAATCTATTGCTGGGAGTGCAATTGGCGCCAGTTCTTGCCACACACTGGGGCGAGAACCATCAGGGCCACCTGCACGTGCCAAAGATCCTGCACGATCTAGTGCACACCAACAGGGAGCTTCGTCAGGGAAGCCTTCCATTGGACGTGTTGAGGGCGATGCTGGACCCAAATCTGGCCGGCCTCAGCCTTACCCGGGACGGAAGAAGTAGCCTGCCCCTCTTCCGTTCATGCGGCAGTCCCGACATTGCCGTTTCCATATGTGCTCAGGTATTCCAGTTGGGTGGCTGCATACTTCGAGCAATTCTGCCACGTGTACTTCAAGTTCCTGAGGCAGAGCGACTTCTGAGGGGTGCCCTTTCTTACTTCTTCGGCTACGTTCCAACGTGAGCCCATCTTAGGCCGCGATTGCTGCACCAGGCCTCTAAGCAGCCTGACTCGTTTGTTTCTCTTGTGGCTGGGCAGCCCCCAGTCTTTTCCATTTCACGTGTTCATGAATATCGCGCACATGGGATAAGCAATGACTATAGACGTGCTCCCATCACGAATCAATGCCCATGGTGCTCGAGAGCATTTGCCAACATCACAAACGCTCGTCTTCACAGTCAGGCTCGCGGGAAGAAGACCCCCCCAGCTTGTGCTAAGAGGCCTGGCCCACCGTCGGGACTTCTTTCGGTTCTGGATCTTCCGACAGATATCACGCGCCCCTTCTGCGACACCCCGTGCGATACTCTGGAGAGTGCACATCGGCATATTCAAACACACTTTCTCGGCCAAGAGAGCGATGGGAGGGGCGGGGATGGAGCAGCTGGCGACAGCAATGCAGATGGAGGGCGACTGGGCGAGGAATACCCGCCGTGCTGTGGGCAGCGCAGACAACGATCAGCTCAAGCAGCTGGCGATAGCGACGGCGAAGGCGGTGGTGGGCATGGACGTGATGCAGCGCAGGCTCCAGGGCTGCCTGGAGACGACGGCGCTGGTGCGAGAAGCTCATCTATACTTGAAGGGCCTTCAGGGCACGGGCAAGTCTTACGACGCAGAGCGCAAGGCCCTCAAGGAAGCGACAAAGTACGAAGAGATGAACAAGATGACGCCGAGTCACGAGCGCTGTTGGATAGCTTTGATCAGTATGATTGCAAAAGACGAGAGTGCGCCGAAAGAGAAGAAGACGCAGCTCCTGGTGCACTCACAGAAGGCGTCGAGTGTTTCGGGCCAAGTGCTGACATGCATGCAGGAAAAGTGCCATCGCCAGAAAGCTTGGTCGGAGGACCGCTGGAGGATCAACCTGATGGTGGTGCCAGAGCTGAGGGCGGTGCAGATGGAGGCGATGGCAGCTATCGCGGCGAAGCCGCAAGTGGAAGTGAAGGCGGGCGCCCCAGCTCGCAATCCGAATGTGCGCTCGGTGGTCAGCACGCTGGTGGAGATGGGGGAGTATACGGCGGCGAACCAGGAGGGATGAGGCCGCCCGCTCATGAGCCGCCTGCCGCCGCTGCCCATCTTTTCTCCTCCTCCTCCTCCTCCCCCTCCCCCTCCCCCCATGGTACTAGTTCGAATGAGGTTTTAGAGAGGCCCGAGGTCTTTGAGTTTTCCTCTCGGGATGGTTTCAAGGGCACGACTTAAATGTATTGGTTTTCGGGACCGAGGGTGACTCCGATTATGATCAGAGCGCCCCGCTGTCCAGTGGTGGCACGGCTGCGTGCCTAGAGGCCATCCAGTGACAGTATTGGGTGCCAGTGCTCCGTCGTGCGCGCTTGAAGTCCTGACTGAGAGTTTTTGTACGTTGGGAGACAGCGGTTTCTTGAAGTTGCAAATTTCGAGGCCGTTTGCACCCCGCGACCATAGGGCCCAGCACACGCCACTCTGAGCTTAGTTCACGATTCGGCATGCAGGGGACGCAATGGGGTATAATAGAATAGAATCCTCCTCCTCCTCCTCCTCCTCTTCCTCCTCCTGTTCCTCCTCCTTTTCCTCCTCCTCCTCCTCCTCCTCCTCCTCCTCCTCCTCCTCCTCCTCCTCTTCCTCCTCCTACTACTACATTTTGTTTGGTGCCCATAGCCTTCGCGGGCGCATGCGGGGACGCGCCGCTACCTCGGGGGCCTCTCCTTGCGGGAAGACAGCGGGGCGCCGCCGTGGCGAGACCCTGCCGCGCCAGGGGAGGAGTCGGCCCCGCCGCCCCTCGCTTTGATCACCGCCTGCACCGCGGGAGAGAAGCGCTGCATCTCTTTGTTGTCACGCCGCTTCCTGTTGCGCCATGCCAGCGACGCCCGTCATTTTCGACCACTCCACGGCCGTGCAGTCCGTCTTTCCGAGCACGTCTTTGAGCCATTCCTGCATGTCGTTCGCGGACAACCTTGGCGGCTCCGCATTCGCGCTCGTCCAGAAATTCACGTTCAGACGCACCACATCTTCGAAGCAACCCGAGCAGTGGAATCGCCCGGCCATTTGCGGATGAGAACGTCCAGGTTTTCGTGGTTGATATCCACCTTCACCGGGGGGTGCGACATGCGAGCGGCCCCGCACCAACGTTGGAGGCCCTGATGCCGCGGCCTCGCGCGCTGGCAAAAATTGCGGCGGCGAAACATCAATTCGATATTCTTCCGTTTTCGCTGTCGGCGCGGTCTCCTTCTCCCCCCTTCCCCTCGGTGCATGATATTCTGTCATTTCTCCATCTCCCTCTCCCCCGTCCTTTCCCTTCCTCCATCGGTTTTGGCCCCGCAGGATGCCAAGCCTCCCTGTGAAATCCCTTCGTGATCCTTATCAGGAGGCGGTGCCTCTTCAAGATGCGGAACACCACACCGATCGCAGGGGAAACGCGCCTCCCCATGCTGCACAAGCCGTGCTGCAGCAGGCATGGCGTCTTCCGCGCGTGAAGGATTGATTCCGTTGCAGGAGGTGCGGGCAGCCTCTGTGAACAACATCGCGCCGTCGTCGTCGTCACAAAATGTACGTCGTTGAATCATCGAGCGACGTCGTCGACGTTAAAATTAACGCGGCCACCTTAAGTTGAAGGCTCGAAGCCTTGCTTAGAGCTGCGCGCTACTTCGAGCCTGGTGGGTGTCCTTGGGAACCACTTCTGCTGGCCCCTGGGGACCCGAAAGCGAGCCCCCCCCAGCGGCCGACATCGAGGAGCGGCGCCCGGGCGGTTGACAAGACAGCGTCGGAGATCTGGGCCCAGCATAGCGCTGGCGGCGAGCGCGTAGGGCCGGCGGCGAGCGCACCGTGGGTGGCGTGGGTGCCTTCCGCGCGCGCGGGCCCAGCGCCAGCCGCCTCTGCTTCCGCGCCTGGCCCAGTCCCCCGGCCTTCTGAGAGGTTCCCTAAGCGTTCCCCGCATACACAGGAGACTTTTCAGAAGGCCGGAAGGCTTCTGAGAAGTCTCCGCCTTTCGCTCGCCATCGATATGGATCCGCTCTTCTGAGGGGGGATCGCGGTGAGGACCGAAAGGTGTCTCACGTGCACGCCTTTTCGGCCCAGAGCTGCTCAAACATGATGGACCCACGAACCCGGAAAGAGATATAGAACCGCATGAATGGAAACGTTTTCACGACACCGTATTGGGCGACGGGCACTTCCACGAGACACCCCGCGAAACATTCCACGAGACACGGGCGACCGTTTCCAACGTCTTCTTGGAAACATTCCACGAGACACCCCGCGAAACAGTCCACGAGACACCCCACGAAACATTCCACGACGACAGGCAACCACTCAACCAAGGCGGCGTGGTCGTGCTGGGGAGTGGTCGTACTGGGGTGTGGTCGTGCTGGGGGGTGGTCGTGCTGGGGGGTGGTCGTGCTGGGGGGGTAGTCGTGCTGGGGGGTGGTCGTGCTGGGGCGTGGTCGTGCTGGGGCGTGGTCGTGCTGGGGCGTGGTCGTGCTGGGGCGTGGTCGTGCTGTGGTGAGGTCGTGCTGGGGTGTGGTCGTGCTGGGTGATGGTCTTGCTGGGGTGGGGTCGTGATGGGGTGGGGTAATGCTGGGGCGCGGTCGTGCTGGAGTTTGGTCGTGCTGGGGTGGGGTCGTGCTGGGGTGTGATCGTGCTGGGGTGTGGTCGTGCAGAGGGGTGTGGTCGTGCTGGGGTGCAAATCTACAGGCACATACGTAAAAACACACGGGTTCGTGCACCTGGAGAAGGCAAATCTCTGGTGCTCCCAGATCCCTCAAGTTCTACAAAACAAGCGATTCGCTCGAGACATCCTCGGTCACTCTGCGGAGCAAGCGCTTCGCTCGAGACATCCTCAACACACGAAAGAGTGGCCCGCACCCTGTGATTTATCGATCGGGATTTCAAAAACACGCGTTTTGCTCGAGACATCCTCATTGTTTAATCCGCTGGCCCGACCTCGATATTCATCAGGGAAAGAATCCGCCGGCCCACCTCAGTTGAGGCACCGGGGACAGGTTTACTTACTAAAAGAGAACCTTGGGCCTATGCCCTTTCCGGGAAAAACGGCAGCGGAGGGGGGAGGGGGGAGGGGGACAGGGTGGCAGGGGGGCCAAATGCCAAGCCTGCCATAATCCGAATCAGAAAAAAGCGCGCTCGAGCTGCAGCGTGGGGTCCGATGCGACAGCGGCGCGGGGCTCTGGACTTGCGTTCCGGGCGTTGCGGGAGGCACCCGTGCCCCAAGTTGCCGCCAGTTTTTCGCACCCTTTTTGGAGCCCCTTGGGCCCTCTCGGCCGCGTCAGGGCTTCTGTGGAGGCCGTGGCTGGGAATCCCCAGAGCACTTTGGGCCAGGGGGCCCGCAAAAGCGCGAGCGGGGAGCACGAGAATTTGGGGCTCGTCAGGGTCAGGGCTCCGGAGGGGCCTCAGATTTAGCCGACATCGACGCGTTCCCCCAAAACGCGGATCACGGCATCCCCAATTTGGTTCAAGTCGGCCGACATTTCGGCCTGCGCACAGATAAAAGCACGCTCGAGGTTCAGCGTGGCCGTCCGGTGCCCCGACGCTGGCGCGGGGCTCTGGACCTACGTCTGCACCCGCCGCGGCGCCGCGGAGCCCTGCGGCGAGGAGGCCGCGCCCGCGCCGGGCGCCGTGCGGGCCGCGCTCGGCCCGGGCGCGGCGCCGGGCGAGCGGGAGGCGCCCGGGGTGGATGGCGCCTGGCGGCGGCGGCAGGCGCAACGTGGACGGATTCGCCGGAGTGACCTCCTGGTGCGGGCCCAGCTGGGTCCCCCGATCGCTGAACGCGGTGCGGTGGCAGCGGCTTGCGCGCGCAGGTTTGGCCACCCCGCGTCCCATGTCGACGTCAAAAGCGGCGGCAGACGCGACGTCGGCGCGATGTCGACGGCTATACCAGTCAGGGTGCGGCTGAAGTCGAAGTCGCCCTTTGTGCGACTTCATCGTGCCCAAGAGGATCATGGCCCAGAAGGGTCTTTAGTGCTAACCGGGACCCCCTCACCCAAGCTCTCGGCTGGCAATACTCGTCCTTTCCCTCATCATCATCACCATCAGGGATCCTCATTCCCTCTTTGATCGTCAGCGGTGGCCGCCTTGTGGGAAAAAGTAGGTTCTCCGTATTATTGGGGCCCCAATCCGTCAATAAGCCCGCATAAAAAAAGTGTTCCCATGATGTGGGGGGTTAAGACCCGTTTGGGTTACCCTGGAGTTCGAGGGCAACGAGGGGGGGAGTAGGCTCAGGGGAGGGTGCATCGTCCCCCAATCGCCCATCGATCGCCGACAGGGGTCTGGTAGCTCCACCCCGCCCAGAAACTTGCGAATTCGCCGGCTGAGGCCTATTGCCATTGCCTATTGCCGATCTATCGGCGATGTATCGCCTATTCCAGATCGATGTTTCCCCTAGGCCAGTCCCTCCTCATCCATTGCCCCTCCTCTGAGATCCTGGGTGGTGCAGTTTTTATCACACCAGACGTTTGCGCCCAGTTTCGGGCCCCAGGGCCATCCAAGATCGATCCAGGAAGCAAGGGTCTAGGGCTCTGGTCATGAGGAGCGCGATGTTGCAGTTTTCTGGGGGATCGAGCATTGCGGGAAAGTGGCAGAGGCCCCAAACGGTCTCTAAATTAGCCACCGCGGGGCCCAAGAAGGTGCACGAAAGATGCTCTTCCCTTTACCCCAGTTTATTGCCCCCGTTAGCGAACACCAGAGAGGTGCTCGTCCGGATAGCGTTTGGCGGCGACGGCGGCGACTGTAGCGGCGGCAGCGGCATATGCGACGTCGATCGGAGACGCTCAGAGTAGGAACAGATGCTGATACCGCTGCTTGTCTTGGAGAGCCCTCGTCACCACGGCTGGATTCTCTGCGAAATTCTAGAGGCGTCGCGTAACCCCACCAGCCCATCCAGAAATGTGGGATGTGGGGGTGCGATGGTCAGGGATGTGGAGGAGTATGGATTGGAAGAAAGGGCTGGGGACGCCGTCATACTCCCAGAGGGACAGGAAAGAGGTGGAATTGGAGGAGGGGGAGAGGGGGAGAAGGGAGGAGGGAGGAGGTCGAACAGCCGGGTGAGGAGGAGGGGAAGGAGGAGGGAGGAGGAGGAGGGAGGAGGAGGAGGAGGAGGAGGAGCAGCAGCAGCAGGAGGAAGAAGGGAGCAGACTCGAGGACGAGGAGGAGGAGGAGGAGGAGGAGGATGAGGAGGAGGGAGAGTAGAAGGGCCAGTCTTGGGGGTCTCTTGGCGGTCCCAGGGGCCTCTTGGGGCGTCTTGGGTACATCTGCGGGTCCAGTTGGGGGCCACTTGCGGCCATCTTGGGGACCCTAAGAGCCAAAGAGGGGGGGGGGGGGCTAATGAGCGCCCCCCCCCCTCCCCCCCGTGGAGTCCCAAAAGTCGCCTCTTTTGGCCCTCTTGGGCGCTCTTTGGCGCTTTGGGGGCCGTGGGCCAAAACCTTTGAGTTTCCGTAGGTGTTTGAACGATGTGTGCCTCCTTGGGAATCTCCGTGGTCGCTTGGAGCCATCATCGGGCCTCTTGGAGGCATCTTGGATGCCATCTTGAGCAAACTTCGACCATATGACGCCATCTGAAAGCATGAGAGGCTACCTTGGAGTCTCCATGAGCCAAAAGGCTCTCAAAGATGCCCCCGAGAAGCCAACACATGTGCAACATCCAAGCGTTCTTCAACGTTGTTGTTGATCAAAGGAGTGGGGTCTAATCAGCGTCCCACCTCTGGAGCCCCCAAGGTCGCCTCTTGGGACCCTCCTGGGGCGCTCTGGGGGCGCTATTTGGGCCGTCTTGGGGCCAGTTTGGGCTCGGGGCCTTCTTGGGCCCTCTTGGAGCCATCTTGAGGCCTCGGGAGCCTATCAGAAGCTAAAATGCGAAATCGCTGAAATCCGTAATTTCCCCACGTTGTTGGAGGATGTGGACCTCTAGGGAGCATCCTGGGGGGGCCCCTAGCCCAGTTAGATCAGTCTTGGAGGAGTCTCGGGACATCGTGGAACATTTTGGAAGCCATCTTGCGCTATCTTGAAGCAGCTTGGAGGTCATCTTGACCTCCCAGAAGCCCTCGTGGAGCCATCTAGGACCATCTTGGACGCTACAACGCCTGGCGGAACCCCCCGTCCATGTCCAGGGGGAGGCGGTAGGGGGAGGGGTCAAGACACCCTCCCCGCCCGCAAGCTGTCTCGCTCACTCCCATAACGGCGGCGACGGCAGCGGCAGTTGCGACAACGACGACAACGACGACGACGACGACGACGACGACGACGACAGACGATGACGGCGGCTACGGCGGCGTCTGCTGAGCCAAAGGTGTCCGTCTGGACGCGAAACCCGGACGAGGCAGCGTTCGAGTACGCGGAGATGTTCAAGGATCGCAGATGGAGAAGACCACACATGTGACTACCGATGCCATTCCCTCAGCCGTTCGCCTTTTGGGACATCGTGTAGGGTTCCTCGACGGCACGGCAGGATTTGTTGATTGAAATCCTGGTCAGAGCGAAGCGGGTATCGGTGTCCACCAGATGTTCCAGGGTCGTGTGTGGCAAGGCCTAGGGCTTCGCACAGACAGGCCCTGGAAGAGTAGCCTCGGCTGGCTTAAGAGACCCCAGGGTAGCCCGGGGCAGTCTGACGGCGCCCCTGGGCGCTCGGCGCCGCGGAGTTGAAGTGTTGAGACTGGGGAATCAGAAAGGTACCGAGGCTTCTAGTTACTCCGTGGACCTCTCACGGGGCGCGTTTTGACCCGGACTTCGAGGCGAATCTAGCCGTGGTGGCGAGGGACGGGCAGCGGTCTCGGTATTGCTTCTTCCTCCAAGGGGCCGACACCAAACGCCCCCGGGGCGCAGCGACGGACCTATCCCCCCATGGGCTGCTTGTGCGCCAATCCCAGGCCAGTGGAGACGGCGGCGGTTCCACCGCCCGGCCCGAATCTGCTCCAGAGCGGTCCCCGCGCACTTCGGGGGTCCGTCCTGACGGGTGTCCCGAGGCGCATCCAGCTTTGGCGGCGAGAAGCCTCCAGGAGGCCCGGCAAGAAGGGGGCGCAGAACGCCAAGGTGGGCCACCCTTCTCTCGACCGTCCCTCTCCAGAGCTCGAGGGCCGCTGCTACGGGCCCCTGGACGACCGCGGGGGCTGCTGGGGGCTGCGGGCTGCCCTGGACCGCGAGACGGTCGTGGTGGACGCGGGCATGAACCTCGGCCTCTTCGGCATCTACCTGCAGCATCTGGCCCAGCCGGGGCGCGCCGTGATCTGCCTCGCCTTCGAGCCGGCCCCCGAGTCGTACAGGATCTCGGAGGAGGGAGATCGGTCCGATCGAAGTGGGCACGGAAAGAAGGGGAACAGAGGCCGACAGCAGTTCTTGTCCGTTTTGAACCGAGTTCGCTGTCGGTGCCGCCGCGGACGTTGTCCATGGAAGGCAGAAGGTCGCCTGCACAGCAGCAGCAACATTGGCTGTTGGGCGGCGTCGTACATATAGGCAAGGCCTTAAGGCCGGTGCCGCTCGATCCTGAAGGAAGAGGACGACGGCGGCGGCGACGACGGCGACGCTGACGCTCTGGAGTCCCTCTTGGGGCTCTCTTGAATTCTATTGAGCTCTGTTGGGGGGGCCCCTTGGGAGACTTCTTGGGAAGCTCCATGGCCACTTGGAGCCGCCACTGAGCGGACATGGAGCCTTCTGGAGGCATGTCGGAAACTACGCAGCACCCCTCAACAGCAGACAAGATAAGAGTGAGGAGGGTGCCTCCAGGGGAGGGGGGTCCAGGAGGAGTTGGGGGGGTTCCCCTGTTTACAGGGGGAAGGAGGGGGCAAGGGTCTTGAGTTCCCCCTGTCCACATGGGGTCTACCCCCCCAGGGGACCCCCTGGGGAGCAGGTCACAACCCAAGGGACCAACCCCCTTGTACCTCCCCTGGGACCCCCCGCTACCCCGCCCCCCCGCCAGAGAAGGGGTCAAAGGAAAGGAGCTTCCCTTCGAATGGATTCCGTCTGGCTGTTTGATTTGTTTGATTTGACGCGGTTGTTTGATTTCCGTTTGGCTGGATCGCTTGAGAAGGAAGGCCCAGGGAAAGGGGGGCAGCGGGGACGGCGACGACGACGACTCAAATGGAAAAACGTTTCACACTCGCCGGCGGCGCCGGCGGATTGTATGCGTATCTATTCGGGGCGTGCCAAGAACAGGCACCAATACTGGTACCTTTCCCTCGTGTTCGCCTTTTTGGCCCTCCTGAGAGGCCCTCGTCGCCACGGCTGGATTCGCTTCGAGATTCTTGCCAGAACGACGCACCCTGGGAGAGGTCTGGGGAGTAGCGGTATCGATATTTCAAGGGTCCTGATACGGTGCGGTGACAGACCCTGCAGTGCCCTCGAAACCGCAGAGACCTCACCGCACGGTGTCCGCACCCTGGCGGCATCAGTCGCCCGAGACATTTTTTGAGAACAACCGAGTTCCAAAACTGTGGGATCACCGCGAATACCCACTGATTCACCATACGTTCCTATAGCCACACCGATTGGGGCCCTGGAGTCCACGCGAGGGGACGGAGCGCCCGAAGATGTGGAACATGCAGATGGGCAGTAGGGGGAGGGAGTCTCAAGTAGGCACAGGATACAAGAGAGTGGTCCAACGCAAGTGGCACACCCAAAATGAAAGCGCAGCTGGGAACTCAGATCCACACTTTCAGGTTGTCCTTTCTGCACCCACAGGAGGTCCATCGCACGCGACAGCGAGTATATGTTTTGGAGAACAAGAAGTAGCATGAAACATAAACTGTCGGAGCTTCGCGCGGATTTCTTGGATCGGCGCGGCCCCCCTGCGCGCCAGGGGGGGGATTCTAGCGTCAATCCAAGAAATTCGCGCGGAATTCCCAAAGTTTATGTGTTTGATGTTATTGTTGTTCTGATCTGAGTATTCATATCCTAAGTGGGACTCGCATTTTCTAGGGGCACCTCGAGCAGTCGTTTCACATCACACACCCCTCCCCCCCCCCGTCCTCGTGCCACACTGACCATCACCAGCACACCACCATCACCATCTTTATCCCATCATGACAATCGGCCATCATCATCATCATCGTCATCATCATCATCACCATCATCTTCGTCATAATCATTTTCAACATCATCATCATCATCATCATCATCATCATCGACATCATCGTCACCGTCCTCGTCGTCGTCATCATCAACATCATCATCATAGTTTGGGCTCGAGTGTTTTTGGGCGCGTCGGCCAGGCTGACACTGCCCGCATCGGACTAGCCCCCCAATCATCAGGATCGACTTTACACGTGGGCTATCTTGGGCCGTCGATGGGGCCATCTTGGAGGTCCCGGCCTGTCTTGAGCCGTCGGAAGCTCAGAAGTCGGAAAGGCGAAACAGGCGAACGTCGGAGGACTTAATGAAAATCAGCGATGCTGGCTTCTTCGGGTACTGCTGGAGGATCCCTTGGGGCCCTTTCGGTCGGCCTTCAGGTTCCTTGCGCGGCCCCGAAGCCTTCTTGGGGCTATCTAGAGTTCACGAAGGTTTCTGCCCACTCTGTCTGGTCCAACGTGCAGATGCCTGAATGCACGCTCGAGGTTATCTAGTGGCATTCGGCGTATCCCGCCACCGTGCCTGGGTTTTGGGTTAGAGGCTTCTTGTATGTGTGGTGGGATCTCGTGGCACGCCTCTCGGGGGCCTGTGGAAGGCAGTTTTGAAGCTCCTTGGGGGCTGTTTTGGGGCCTCTGGGGGTCTTTTTGAGGCCTCCTGGGAGCCTCTTGGGGGCTCGTTGGGGCGTCGAGGGGGCTTCGTGGGGGCCTCCGGAGGCCTTTTCGGGCACTATTGGGGCTTTCTGGGGCTCCTGGGGAGGGAAAGCTAAAATTTTGGTATCTTTGGTCGCCCTCTTGTGCGTCTCTTGGTGCCGTCTTGGAGCCCTCTCGGGCCGTCTTGGGGGCCTCTTGGGCCGTTTTGGGGCTGTCTTGGGCCGTCTTGGGGCCGTCTTGGGGCCGTGTTGGGGGCCTCTTGGGCCGTCTTGGGGCGGTCTTCGGGGCCTCTTGGGCTGTCTTGGAGCGTCGGGAAGACGAAAAGGCGAGAAAGTAAAGAACATCGACAAACATATAGAACATCAACAAATTTAGCCGCTCGGGGCCCTTTTGGAAGTCTTCTCGGGTGCCCCTAGGGCCGTCTCGGAGGCCTCTAGGCCCGTCTTGGGGCCATCATGGCCGTGTTGGAGCGCTCGTTTGGCGTCTCTCTTGGTCCGTCTTGGAGGCCTCTTGGGGCCCTCTTGGCCCGTCTTGGGGCCCTCTTGGCGTCCCAAAAGCCGACGCGAAACACCGCAGGAGCGCGCGAGAGCGCGCGAGAGCGCCCAGGAGCGCCTGGGAAACCGGGGGTCCGGGAGGAGGAGGAGGAGGACATGGGATGACAAGATTGCGATCCCGGTTTTATTTTTTCGTTTGCCCGGCTAGCAGGGCAATGATGGGGGGGGGGAGCGGTGGTGCTGGTGAGGAGCGGGTGGAGGAGGAGGAAGGTAAAAAGGGGCAGGAGGAGGGGGACGAGGAGCAGCAGGAGGAGGAGGAGGAGGAGGAGGACGAGGGATGACAAGATTGCGATCCCGGTATTATTTTCTCGTCTGCCCGGCTAGCCGGGCAATGATGCGGGGGGAGAGCGGTGGTGGTGGTGAGGAGCGGGTGGAGGAGGAGGAAGGTAAAAAGAGGCAGGAGGAGGAGGAGGACGAGGAGCAGCAGGAGGAGGAGGAGGAGGAGGAGGACGAGGGATGACAAGATTGCGATCCCGGTTTTATTTTCTCGTCTGCCCGGCTGGCCGGGCAATGATGGGGGGGGAGAGCGGTGGTGGTGGTGAGGAGCGGGTGGAGGAGGAGGAAGGTAAAAAGGGGCAGGAGGAGGAGGACGAGGAGCAGCAGCAGGAGGAGGAGGAGGGCGAGGGATGACAAGATTGCGATCCCGGTTTTATTTTCACGTCTGCCCGGCTAGCCGGGCAATGATGCGGGGGGAGAGCGGTGGTGGTGGTGGAGAGCGGGTGGAGGAGGAGGAAGGTAAAAAGGGGCAGGAGGAGGAGGACGAGGAGCAGCAGGAGGAGGAGGAGGACGAGGGATGACAAGATTGCGATCCCGGTTTTATTTTCTCGTCTGCCCGGCTGGCCGGGCAATGATGCGGGGGGAGAGCGGTGGTGGTGGAGAGCGGGTGGAGGAGGAGGAAGGTAAAAAGGGGCAGGAGGAGGAGGACGAGGAGCAGCAGGAGGAGGAGGAGGACGAGGGATGACAAGATTGCGATCCCGGTTTTATTTTCGCGTCTGCCCGGCTAGCCGGGCAATGATGGGTGGGGAGAGCGGTGGTGGTGGTGAGGAGCGGGTGGAGGAGGAGGAAGGTAAAAAGGGTCAGGAGGAGGAGGAGGACGAGGAGCAGCAGGAGGAGGAGGAGGAGGACTAGGTGTTAGAGTTACGGTCAGGGGTTAGGGCTAGTTTTTAGGGTTCGGGTTAGCGGTTAGGCTGAGTGTTCGGGGTTAGGGTTTGGGTTTGGGGTGAGGTGTAGGGTTCGAGTAAGGGTTCATGGTTTAGAGCGAGGGTGGTCCAGGTTCAGAGGTAGTGTTTAGTGTTAGGGTCAGGGTTACAGGTTCGGTTCAGGGATTCGGGGTTAGGGTTACGGTTCAGTTTCAGGGTTAGGGTTAGAGTTGGGGGAAGAGTTTAGGGTCAGGGGTCTTGGGGTACGGTTAGGGATTAGGGTTTAGCGTTCGGGTTAGGGGTTAGGGGAATGGTTAGGGTTTCGGCTTAGGGTTAGTGTTTTTGCTTAGGGTTTCGGGTTATGGTTTAGGGTTTCAGGATTGGAGGTTAGGGTTTGGGTTAGTGTTGAGGGTTAGGGCTGAAGGTTAGGGTTAGAGGGTAGGTTTAGGGGTAAGGGTTAGAGTCAGGATTGAGAGGGTGAGGGTTAGGGGTTAGTGTTATGGGCGGCTGGTGTTTAGGTCGCGTGTCAGGGGTTACGGGTTAGGGGTAGGGATCGGGTGAGTGCTTAGGGTTAGGGCATCGGGTTATTGTTTTGGTTTGGGTTCCGCCGGGAGGGGAACGGAAGCTCTCCCTCTCTTTGGGAAAAAGGGGGGAGGGGGGGGTAGCTTCCAGCAGAGGGGGTTCCCAGGGAGGGGGAGGGAGCTAAGCTCTCCCCCTCCTTTACAAAGAGGGGTAGCGGGGGGTTGCCTTCCGGCCGCCCAAAAGGGGGGAGGGGGGGGTAGCATCCGGGGGGTGGGCGAAAAAGGGGGGGAGGGGGGGGTAGCTACCGGCAGAGGTGTCCAAGGGAGGGGGGGGTAGCTAAGCCCCCCCCCCTTTTGGAAAGGAGGGGAGGGGGGGGTAGCTTCCGGAGCGGCCAAAGGGGGGGAGGGGGGGGGTAGCTTCGGGGGGCAGACGAAAAAGGGGGGGAGGGGGGGGGGCTTCCAGCAAAGGGGGTCCAAGGGGGGGGGGGTAGCTGAGGGGGGACCCCCCCTTTTTTGCGAGTTCCGCACGGGCGCGCTCTCTCTTAGCCCTGCTGATGGAGGACCTGTTCCTTGGGTCCCCGCTGGTTTTATGTATTCCGCGTTCCCCATTGCATCTCCTTCGTCACGACGGAAACGCACATGCGAGGCCCGACGTGAGGTTTCCCTCCTCTCTCGCCCTCCGCGCCCCCCCTATTCCCCTCCCGATAATGTTTATTGTTTGTCTATCTTTACCGCGTGGCGCTCGCGAGTGCCCGCCGTAGCGCCTCGGTGCCCAGCCTTTCTCCTCCTCTTCTCTTTCCCCCATCCTCTCGTTTTCCTCCTCCACCTCCGCCTCCTCCTCCTCCTCCTCCTCCTCCTCCTGCTCTTCCTGCTCCCCCTCCTCCTCTTCCCCCTTTTCGTCCCCGAGGAGCGAGGAGCTGCGTGTGCGGGCGATTCGGGGGAACTGCCCCGCCTCCACGCCCCCCATTGCCGTGGCCGGATCCGCCGTGCAATCATAGTCAGGGCGCGTTTTGGGAAAGTAGTTGCCGTTCCTCCTCCGCGCCTTGTTGGTTCGAAGACGCGCGCTGAATCAGGAAACGCGCCTGAAGATAAAGACAACGTTGTGCGATTATTGTTAGTCCGTGTTGTTTCACATGTTGGATTCCGATTTGGTTTCAGGCCTGGTCGGCTCCACTGAAGTCCAAATGTCTGACACAATTTGCTTGTCACAGCAGTTGCGAACCATGAAAAAGTTCCACTCTGGCGGCCCCCCGCTGCTGTCGAAGCGAGGGGGGGAAAAAACAAAACAACACCTTCTTCATCATCATCAACATCATCATCATCGCCACCACCTTCAGCATCACCACCATCAACATCATCATCAGCATCACCGCACACATTCACACACGCACTGACGCATTCAGACAGTCACACAGCCACCGACTGTCTCACACAGCCCGCGCACGCTAACACGTTCACTCATTCACTCACTCACATACACTCACATTATCATATTGAGGAAGTTTGGTGCGCGAGCTTTGTCCGTGAATGGATATCGAGGAAGTCTCTAGCGGGAACCACCTTCCTATGGGGCCCGCATTTAACGTTCGAATTGAATTCGGGCCATTGGACAATGCTTACTTGGCGTGACACTTGAGCACCCTAAGGGGGCACGTCGCGATAATGTCTTTAGCGGGAGCCCCGTCTGTGAGTAAATATCGAGGAAGTCTCGAGTGGGAGGCCCTTCCATACGGGGCTTGCGTTTCATGTTCGAATCCTGTGCGGGTCATCCGAGTTTTCTGTAGCAGGCGTTGCATTTGAGCACCCCAAGGCGGCAGATCGCGAGAATGTTTTGAGCTGGATTTGTTTTTCTGTGAGTGAATAGCGGGGAAGCCTCGAGTGGGAACACCATCCTTATGGGCCCCCCACGTCACGGTTTTGGTCCGAGCGAGCCATTGGCCTACTGCGGCAGGCATATCACTTGAGCACCCCAACAGGGCAAATCGTGAGGATCATTCTAGCGGGAACTTCGTTAACAAAGAAATAACAAACAAGTCTCAAACGAGAGGCCCTTTCCTGTGGGATATCACCGCATGTTTTTTCAATCGGAGCGGGCCATCGGCGTACTACAGCAATCATAGCAGTTGAGCACCCCAAGGGTGCAAGTTTCGAGGATCTTTTGAATGGGGGCTTTGATTGTAAGAGGGCAGCGACGAAATCTTGAGCAGTAAGCCCATCCCGATGGGGTCCCCACCTCGTGTTCTCAATGCGGGTGGGCCATCGGCGTATTACAGCACGCATAAGACTTGAGCACCCGAAAGGGCAGATCGTGAGGATGTCTCGAACGGGGGCTTCGCCTGCGAGCGAGTCGCCAGGAAATTCCGAGCGGGAACACCTTCCATATGGAATATTGAGGAAGCCTCGAGTGGGAGCTTCGTCTGTGAGTGAGGCGCGAGGACGTCTCGAGCGATAGCCCCCTCCCTACGGGGCCGGCAATTCCAGTGTCGAATCCGAGCGGTGTATCCGAACTTTGTACATGTCGTCGTTGCTAGCACTATTGTCGCCATCGCACACACACACGCACAAACAGACACACACACACACGCACTCACTCACTCGTGCACTCATCTTGAGTAAGTCTCGAGCGAGAGCCTCGTCTCTGATTAAATCGCGACGAAGTCGAGCGGGAGCTCCTCCATATAGGGACCACACTTCCGTGAGGCGGCCATCCGAATTCTCTGCGAAGACACTGGTCTGGTCATATTTTGGGGCCCGAATCTAGAGGGAGTCTCGAACGGGAGCCTCCTTCCCGAGCTAACTGGGAGGGTGTCTCGGGCGCTCATTCGTCTGTGAGTGACTTGCGGGGACGTCTCAGGCGAAAGCCCCTCCTCATGGAGTCCCCACCTCCATGTTCGAATCCGAGGCGGTCATCAGAATACCATGTAAAAGCACAGGTGTGGTGAAACCTGAGAGCCGGAATCCCGAGGAGGTCTCTCACGGGAATTCCTGAGCAAATTGAAAGGATTTCTCGGCCACTCTTTCGACACTGAGTGCATCGCGAGAAAGCCTCGAGCAGGAGCGCGTCCTTATGGCGATCCCAATTCCATTGTCGAATCCGAGACGGCCATCATAATACCATGTAAAAGCGCAAGTCTGGTGACAGCTGGGCGCCTGAATCCCGAGGAAGTCTCGAGCGGGAGCCTCGTTCCTGAGCAAATGGAGAGGATGCCTCCAGCGGGAACCTCGTCTATGAGCGGATCGCGAGGAAGCCTCGAGCAGGAGCCTCCTCCGCATGGGGTTCTTGCCTCATGTTGGTAATCCGAGGCGGCCATCGGGATAAAGCTTTTAGCCGCGTAGCGCACACCAAGCTTACAAAGAGCAAATCTGGCTCTGGCCTGGCTGGCGTGGTTGGTCTGGTTTGAGCTTTGTCTTGCAGCCTTAGCTCAGGATCCGGGCGAGAGTGGTTTAGCTCAGGATCTGGGCGAGAGTGGTTTAGGGGAGGTCCGGCGAGGCAGCGCCAACCACCACGACGACCGAAATGTAGTTTTTTGTTGGCATTGCAGTGTTTGTGCAACTGGATTGGCCGGTGTGGTTTGTCTGGTTTGAGTTTCGTCTTGCAGCATTAGTTTCGGATTCGGTCGAGAGTGGTCGGAGCGGCTGGCTGGTCTGGTTTACCTGGCTGGTGTGGTTTGTCTACCTGGCCGGTCTGACTGGGCCGTCTGGCTAGTCTGTTTAGTCGTGGCCGTCGTTCTCGTCCTCGCCCTCGACTTCGTCGTCGTCGTCGTCCTCGTGGTCGTCGTCGTCGACGACATCGTCCTGCCCCTTGCGTCGCCGCAGCCGGGGCTGGGACCGAAACTGCGTCAAGTCTGGCTGCGGCGGACAGGGAGGAGGTAAGCGAGGGAACATCAGCAGCCATATCAGATTCTATGCCCCAAAGCAAAGTAAGGTGCTGGGGCAGAAGGGCTTTTCGCTTTGAGCGGCTCAGAATACTGGTAGCCCGTTCCTCGAGGAAGTCTTGCGGGAGTCCCGTTCATGCACAATTTGAGAGGATGCATCCGACGCTTGCCTGCGAGGGAGTCGCGAGGAAGTCTTGAGCGGGCGCCCCTCCCTGTGGCCCCCCCCCGCTTCATTTTATGAATCCGAGGCGGCCATCGGGATCCCTTGTAAAAACATCGGGTTGGTGGCACATAGGGGGGGGTGAATCTTGAGAGCGTTTAGAGCGGGAGCCTCGTTCCTTTGCCGAGCTTTCTCTGGAATCTGAGGCGGCCATGCTCAATCAAGTTTGTAGCGACGACGAGGGCCAGCCGATGCCAGACAGGAAGAGGGCCTCCCCGTAATCACAACGACAATGACGAGGATTACTTCCAAACTTGTCTAGGATATTCTCATGTGGGGTCCTACCAGGTCGCCGTCAGGAACTTGCGCGACGAATGCGCGCGCGTGGCACACCCAACCTGCAAATTGTAGGGAACTGCGAATCGCACGTGCGGCTGCCCTTTGCGATCGCAGAAAGTCCAATGCACGTGACAGCGAGTATCTTTTGTCTCGGCGGCGAGTCCAGCGGGGATGCCAAAGGGGGCGGGCCTTCTCAGAAGGCTCAGAGTGCCTCGGGCCCTCTGAGAAGTTGTCGGAGCTTTCTCTGGATGCAGAGCCAGCTTGTCAGCAGGCGGATGGCTTCTGAGAAGCCCCACCGCCTTCTGAGGAGGCTCGCCCCGTGTCGTTTCCGCCCCCTCCCCCCCCCCCGGGCGCGCCCCCGATGGTGGTTTCCCCAGGATCGCCGTCCGGAACCTGCGCGACGCGGGCGTGCGCGTGGTGGACCACGGCGGCGGCCTGCCGCCTCGCGGCTCACGGGAGGCGGCCGGCATCGCGCCGTCCGCGGGCAGCGGCCTCGTGGTGCACGCCTTTCAGATGGCTCTCGGGGCCTGCGGCGGCGGCACGGAACGATTCCGCTTCTTCTCGGGGCCCCCAAGGCCAGGACACACTCTGCTGACCAGGGCTCTAATGATGCCGCATGGAGAGGCCTTCGGGCGTGTGCATTTTTTCTCGGCGATGCCAGCGCCAGAAAGTCTGGACCATCTAGGAGCGTCTGGGATCAGGACAGAACATGATCGACCCACGAACCCGGAAAGGAATATAGAAATGTAAGGCATTGCAACGTTTCAAAGACACGTGATTGGGCGACGGGCAAATGCAATGCTGAATGTATCGATTTTGATGTACATTGCCGAGGCCTGTGCTGTGCTGCGCCGTGCTGATGCTGAACTGCGATGTGCCATGCCGCGAATGTGCTGTATAGCGTTGTGGATCGAGTCCTCCTTTGCACCCGAGTCCTGACCGAACTGATCTGGATCTTAAGCTCGAGCTGCCTCAGCACATAGCAGCTGCCCCAGAGCTAATTGACTGGGGAACATGCCAGGAGGACGCGCCGCGGAACGCCCCAAGGGACGCGCCAGGCGACGTGCCAAGGGACGTGCCACGAAGACGCACCGCGGGACGTGCCGAGGGGACGCGCTATGGAAAGTGCCAATGGACGTGCCAATGGACGTGCCAGGAGACGCGCCGCGCGACGTGCCAGGGGGACTCGCCACAAAACGCGCCACGGAACGTGCCAGGGTGCAATGCTGAGTGTATCGATCTTGATGTACCGTACCGAGGCCTGTGCTGTGCTGCGCTGTGCTGAACTGCGATGTGCCATGCCGCGATTGTGCTCTATAGCGTTGTGGATCGAGTCCTCCTTTGCACCCGAGTCCTGACCGAACTGATCTGGATCTTAAGCTCGAGCTGCCTTAGCACATAGTAGCTGCCCCAGAGCTAATGGACAGGGGGACATGCCAGGAGGACGCGCCGCGGAACGTCCCAAGGGACGCGCCAGGCGACGTGCCAGGGGACGTGCCACGGGGACGCACCGCGGGACGTGCCGAGGGGACGCGCTACGGAACGTGCCAATGGACGTGCACCGCGCGACGTGCCAGGGGGACTCGCCACGGGACGCTCCGCGGAACGTGCCAGGCAACATGCCAGACTGCAATGCTCGTGGTATCGATATTGATGTACCGTACCGAGGGCTGTGCTGTGCCTGGGCGACCGGACACGTGAAAACACGCGTTTCGCTCAAGACGTTCTCAGCACATCCTCATGCTAGACATCCGCCTGGGCAACCTGGACACGTGCAAACAAGCGTCTCGATCGAGACTTTCTCGACACATCCTCATGCTAGACATCCGCCTGGGCGACCTGGACACGTGAAAACAAGCCTCTGGTTCGAGACATCCTCAACAAATCCTCTTGCTAGACATCTGTCTGGGCCACCTGGAGGCGTGAAACCAAGCGCCTCGCTCGAGACATTCTCAAGACCTGGGCACGTGAAAACAAGCATTTCACTTGAGAGATCCTCTGATTTCAGGTCCCCAGGAGAGGACAAGCTATAACACAAAACAAGCGTTTCGCTCGAGACATCCTCAACAAATTCTGAAAAACAAGCGTTTCGCTAGGGACATCCTGAAATTGTAATTCGCCGGCCCTCTTCCCACTCGTTATTTATCGCAAAAGAAATCCGCCGGCCCTCTTCCCGTCAGACCCGGGGGTAAACAGCTAAAAGAGAACCTTGGCCCTGCGCCCTTTCCGGGAAAAAATGTACAACATGTCAAATGCACGGGGAATGGACGTCCCAGCGATGGCAAGTTACATCTATGATCCTGGGTCCAGGGTCCACGGCCCCCCCTCGGAGTGGATGGGCCCCAGGGTTCCACAGTCGGGGAAACGTATGACTCGAGTAAGCCGTAACTCGGGTTTGCCGATGATTTTTTTGACGAGCGCGTCCTGGATTTTGACGGTCACGTTTTCGTGGGATGTCTGTGGCGGGAGCCTGCATCAAATTTCAGATTGGGTCTCGTTATTTTTATGATGGCCCCCTTCAGGCCAACCCGAGTCCCCCGCACCCGAGTCTCTTACGTCTCCCCGACACAGCCCCCCCCTATTCCCCCTTTGATGGAATGGGGGGCTCCCTCAGGCCAGGACACTGCTGACCAGGGCTCTGGCAATTCTGCCCGCGGAGAACGGGGCATACACGAGGCGTTCCAGACAGGGCCCCGCCTTCGAAGGAGCGGTGGAGTTGTCCTCTCTTCCTCGGCGGAAGGTCGGCGGGAGTAAAACGTGGCGGTTCCGCCTGCGGAAGCTAGGCGGAAAGCGGCGGAAGTAAAATTTTGCCTTCAAAAGATGGCACCTTTCGTTGTTCAGAGCTTCGGAATCAAGCTCAGGGTCGAGGGTTCACGGGCCCCCTCCAGCCCCCAGACGGGATTAGCCCCAGGGTTCCACAGCCTCCTTCTCTGATGAGACGGGGGGGAACGACGGACGACGACGACGACGACGACGACGACGACGACGACGACGACGACGACGACGACGACGACGACGACGAGGACGACGGCACCGCAACACTCCCCAAACCCACAGAGGGAGGGAGGGGCACCCCCACCACGCCAGGCCCACAGGGTCACGACCACAGGGGGGGATCCATCTCGCGCGCGGGGGGGGGCCAGAAGGCATCTGGATCATATACAGAGAATGCTCCCAGCCACGGCTGTAGCCTTCTCGGGCGCGCCAACGTCATGGTTCATCAAAGTCTCCGTCCCCTGATATGCGCCGATGTGATTGTTTAAATCCGCTGCCCCAGAGGTCCCGACCGCTTCCCCTGGGGCAGTTTTTCGTCCCGGATCCTTTCTGTTGCTGGTCCTGGGTCCCGATGACGGCCGCCAGATGCCGAGATGCAGGAAAAGCGTCCAGATTGGAAACACCTTGTCGTCGCAGAGTTGGGTTTCGGGGGCCCTGATCTTCCCGCAGAGCTCCGCCAACTCGGCCCTCGCCCGGCACCGCCCGGAGGCGCGCTGGGCCGAAGGGGAGGTGCCCGACTGCGTCGAGCTCGATGTCGCCTGCTGCAGGCTCTCCGAGGCGCTCCGCGCCGTCCTGCCCGCGGGGTCCTTCGGGGACGCCCTGGGGCTGTTCCTGAAGGTGGACGTGGAGGGGGCGGAGCTCGACGTGCTGCGGGGCCTGGACCCCCCCTCCGCTTCCCAGTCCTACACTCGCGCGGCCAGTGCCGCCGAGCTTGGTGTCGACAGCCGTGCGCGCGGAAGTGTGCGTGACTCCCGCCCCACCACGATGACGGCGGCGACGGCGGCGGCGACGACGTGACGACACGACGGCGACGGCGGCGGTGGCACCAGGCCTTCAAAACGGAGTGCGAGCAGGGGTGGTCGGAGGATCGCGCCGCATCGCCGATGCATCGGCGGTGCGGCTCGATGTGGCGCCCGATCTTCTGCACGTCGACGTCGCTGAGGCATCGCAGACGTCGCCGATGCATCGGGCGATGCGGCGCGATCCTCCGACCCCATCTGCTCGGACACCATTCAGGAGGCCTCCAGGACCAGGATCACTGGCAAAGGGTCTGCGGCCTGGCGGCGGAGGTGCAGGGCCCCGAGCGCTTAGCGGAGGCCCGGCAGCTGTGTGCGGCCGAGGGCGGCTTCCGGGAGGAGGAGCTGCTCACGCGGGGGCAGCCGCACGGCTTCGGCGCCCCAGGCCCAGCGACTGCCGATCACACGATCGTCGATCACATAGATCGCAGTGATCGGGGGATCACGTGATCGCCGTTCACGTAGTCGCTTTGGCCTGATCACGCGATCGCCCTGGCTAGTATGCGTGATCGATCCGTGATCGGTGAGGAGCAGCTGTCGTGATCGGGGCTGCGATCAGATCACGTGATCCGGTGGTGTCATCGGCCGAGTGATTCAGCAGACACCAAGGCCCCAGGCGCGCCGCCCCTGGCCATGCTCTACGCCAGCCGCCGCAGCAGCTGAGGCGGGGCGGTCCGGCCTGCGCCGCCCCCAGGGGCCTCCGTTGGGGTGGCGGGGCGCGCGTTGGCCAGCTGCGCGTCGGTGCGATCGAGATGGGTACGGAGGGAAATGGGACTCAGACCAGCAGCAGCTCCTGGTGGTTTGGCTCGAACTTGCTGTCGGTGTCGCCGCGGGCGTTGTCCACTAGAGTAAGCATCGCCTGCCCAGCGGCCGCCGTTGTCGGTGTGGGACAACGGTTGTTAATGGCGTTGCTGCCAGAGGCGTCCCTGGCCTAGGGTGTTCCCAGGAATTTAAGGAGGCCCCCGTACCCTCCACAGAGCACCCCTCATCCTCACGAGACCCAGCGGGACCCAGGGGCTCCAGGATTGAGCGAAAAGCTGAAAACTCCTTGGGTCAGAGACACCTTTTCGGAGGTTGCTGAAGGTGCCCCTGATCCAAGGTGCCCCGAGCTTTTCGTTCCATTTTGGAGTCCCTGGGCCTCGTGGTGGAGTGCTCTGGAGGTCGTGCGGTCCTCCTTGGAAATCCCGGGGGCACCTTGGGCCAGGAGCCCTTCTACAAAACTCCCGACCTTCGTCAACCCCCGATTTGCTTTTGGGCGTCGTGCCCATGTTTTCTGCACAGTGGAGACCCATGCCGAAAAGCACTGTTTTTTTTGTATCGATGGCTTTGCTATGGAGAGCGTGACGCTCCCACACCAAACATGATGGACCCACGAACCCGGAAAGGGATATAGACATGTGGAGCATGGACACGTTTTCACGATACCCAACTGGGCAACACCTCACGAAACATCCCACGAGACACTTCACGAAACATCCCACGAGACACCTCACGAAACATTCCACGAGACACCTCACGAAACATTCACGAGACGAGACACCCCGCGAAACATTCCACGAGACACCCCACGAAACATTCCACGACGACAGGCAACCACTCAACCAAGGCGGTGTGGTCGTGCTGGGGAGTGGTCGTGCTGGGGTGTGGTCGTGCTGGGGGGTGGTCGTGCTGGGGGTGGTCGTGCTGGGGGGTGGTCGTGCTGGGGGTGGTCGTGCTGGGGCGTGGTCGTGCTGGGGCGTGGTCGTGCTGGGGCGTGGTCGTGCTGGGGTGTGGTCGTGCTGTGGTGAGGTCGTGCTGGGGTGTGGTCGTGCTGGGGTGTGGTCTTGCTGGGGTGGGGTCGTGCTGGGGTGGGGTCGTGCTGGGGTGTGGTCGTGCTGGGGTGGGGGGGTCGGGTCGTGCTGGGGTGTGGTCGTGCTGGGGTGTGGTCGTGCTGGGGTGTGGTCGTGCTGGGGTGTGGTCGTGCTGGGGTGTGGTCGTGCTGGGGCGTGGTCGTGCTGGGGGTGGTCGTGCTGGGGGTGTGGTCGTGCTGGGGTGTGGTCGTGCTGGGGTGGTCGTGCGTGGTCGTGCTGGGGTGTCCGCACCCTGTGATTTATCGATCGGGTCGTGCTGGGGTGTGGTCGTGCTGGTGCTGGGGTGTGTCGTGCTGGGGTGTGGTCGTGCTGGGGTGTGGTCGTGCTGGGGTGTGGTCGTGCTGGGGTGTGGTCGTGCTGGGGCGTGGTCGTGCTGGGCGTGGTCGTGCTGGGGTGTGGTCATGCTGGGGGTGTGGTCGTGCTGAGGTGTCCCGCACCCTGTGATTTATCGATCGGGATTTCAAAAACAAGCGTTTCGCCTGAGACATCCTCAAATTTTAATCCGCCGGCCTCCTTCGACCTCGATATTTATCAGGGAAAGAATCCGCCGGCCTCCTTCAAGTTGGGCACCGGGGACATGTTTACATACTAAAAGAGAACCCTGGGCCTATGCCCTTTCCGGGAAAATCGATGGACGTCCTGGGGGTCCAGGATGTGGTTTCTTGTGGTCGAGCTTGCGTCGGTGCTGGCCACCGCCTGAACCCGTGCGCTGGCCTTCGTGCCGGCGGACCGAGGTGCCGCCTCCGAGGCCGCCTTGGGGGGGGTCTTCAAGCAGTGGCGAGGCGTCCTGACTCGCCTCTGGGCCCACCAGAGAATGTTCTAAGAACCTGTCGCGGTTTGCGCGAGATGTTCTTGGAATATTCCTGTCTGAGACGTTTTGCTGTTTACATCTTCTTCACGTTCTAAGAGCACGGTTTCTTGTAGAAGGTTTCTTGTGGTCGAGCTCCTTCTGTACCCGAGCCCGGGCCCCGGCCCCGAGGTGCGTGCGCGTTCGGGTCGTGCCGAGCGGGCGCCTGGCGCCAGGGTCGGGCCCCGGGGGGGCAGGTCCTCCTCCGTCGACGCAGGGCCGCCTGGCCCCGCGGCCTGCTCGGGAGCGAAAATGGAAGAGAAAAAGGGGAAGAGAGAGAGAGAGAGAGAGAGAGACACGCGCACACACGCACACACACACACACGCACGCAAACGCACACACGCACACACACACACACACACGCACGCACACACACACACACTCACGCACACACGCACACACGCACATACACCCACACACACGCACACGCGCAAACACACACGCACACACACACACAAACCCGCACGCACACACGCACACGCACAC